AGAAAGTCCACTTCGGGTACTTGTCAATTTCTTAGTATATCTCTTGTGTCTTGGTCCTCCAAGAAACAAAACTCGGTATCCTTATCCACCGCCGAAGCGGAGTACATTGCCGCTGGTTCATGTTGTGCTCAATTACTTTGGATGACCCAAACTCTTAAAGATTATGGGATATATGTGAAACATGTTCCATTGCTTTGTGACAATGAAAGTGCTATCAAAATTGGACATAATCCTGTGCAACATTCTCGAACTAAGCATATTGAAGTTTGTCATCATTTCATTCGAGATCATGTTGCTAAGGGTGACATTGATCTTAAGCATGTTCGCACCGAAAAGCAATTAGCGGACATATTCACTAAACCTCTTGATGAGAAAGTGTTTTGCAGGTTGAGAGGAGAATTGAACATCATAGATGCGTCAAACTTGGAGTAGAAACTCCATTGGATACATGCAAGACATGAGCTTATGACTAATCCTTGATATTTCTCTTATGATGAAAATCTTATATCTTGGACATATTTGCTTCTTGCATGTTATCTAACCCATGTAGGTACTTGGTTAAATCAAATTCAATGAGATTGTAACCTACTCACATCTTGAGCAATCTCTACATCACCAAGTCTCTATACAAAGGTGGTTGAAGACAAGGAAGCACGAAACCATTCAAACACATCCTTTGACAAATTCTATGTTGATCTTCATGATTGTCATTTTTGGATACACAAGTGCTCTTCCTTGCAAGAACTAACCCATGTAGGTAGATGGACTAAAATTCCAAGTGGTGCTCCCAACTCTTGATGAGCTACATCAACCTTGAGCAACCCACACAAGTTCAACTACATGATCAACACCACCAATCAAGGTATGTTATTCCATCTTAGAGAAGCTTTACTCCGAGTCATGAGCTAAATAAACTCGACAAGATGTGAATACATCAAGATGCTTAAACGAAAAATGGTAACCCCATTTTGAGCTTAAACGATGAGTATGACCTATGATCAAGTGATCTCACTTGACTCCTAAGTCAATATACTCTAACATAGGTGACTTTTGTCGCCGACCATCTCTAGATGAAGTTCTCTTGTGTTCATCTTTGTGTTTTTGCATTTGTCTCATGCATATTTGTTTCCCCTTTCAAAAAAAACTTCATCTAGATTTCTTTCTTTTCTTTTTGTTTGCTCTGCATTTCATGCATCAATTCATTGCATATCATTTAGTTAATTCCTTGCAAATCTTTGTGAGATCTTCTAGTCTAGTAAGCTGAGGTGACAAGTGTTTTCTCTGCGATGAACTCGGTTACACTGATTTGTTATTTTCGGTCCAACCGAAAACTTTCGGTACCACCGAAGCATACCACTCGGTGCCACCGATTTCACAACAGGAAAAACAGTTTGCCACTTATTCTGTGATTCTTCTGATCCAGCTCCACTCAATGAATCTTATCCTCTAACAAGCATCACATTTTTATCAAGTGCTTTATGTTGTGACTCAAGGATCAAACCCATTCACGACAAATTCCAGAGGGGGAGAGAGAGATCACATTTTTATCAAGCCCTTCTTGGAAATTGACGTCAAAGGGGGAGAGAGAGATCACATCAAAGCTTATCATTTTAGAGAGAGTATCACCTTCTTAGGGGGAGAGAGATCCTTCAGGGAGAGAGAGAGATCTCCAGGGGGAGAGAATACTAGTAGAAAGTATTTCTCAAGGACCCCAGATGCTTGGTGTTCAAGAGGAGAGATGCCACATGTCTTCTTGAGGGGAAAGACATGTTCATATGTGCTTATTTGCATTAGCTCTGTTCATTGAGATTCTTTCAGCTCTGATTTTCTGTTCCCTATCTTCTCCGAGTATCCCATGTTAGATTCAGGGGGAGCAAGACATCTAAGGGAAGAAATCATTTAAATTCATTGCATATCTTTACTCTTGGGGACATGTCTAATCCAATGTGGTACTTAGTACTCACTCTCTACATGTCATCCCAGTCTTGGTATTCTTGTAGTTTCTTCTGTTTGCTTTGGCTAGTAGATGTACCTGTGTTATATAACCTTGTTTGTGCAGGTTCATTCCATCCTAAGCCAACTCAAGGCTACAAGGTAAGTATATGCATCACAATCATGTGTATGAGGAATTCTTGCTAATGTACATACTGTTTGCAAGAAGGACTCATGAGCATGAAGGTATTTTCTTTAATATTCTTTGCTCTGATGCATATGGCCAAGATACATGTAACACATTGCCTGCTCTATCATGGTTATGCTCTCACATGCTTCTATATTTCATATTCACATGATTGCATACATGTAGGGGGAGCCTATGCTTGTTACATGTCTTTCCAAAGCTTTACTTGCTATTCTTTATATCCTTATCTAAAGCTTTGATGTATGTTGTCATCAATTACCAAAAAGGGGGAGATTGAAAGCACAAGTGCTCCCTAGGTGGTTTTGGTAATTTATGTCAACATATCTTTTGTTGGACTAACACTTTTATCTAGTATATTTCAGACAAGTTCAACATTGGAGTGGCATGGACTAAAGGATGTGGAACTCCTTCAAGATGCTAAGGACAAGGGATTGGCTGAAGCTTCAAGCTCAAGACTCTTCATTTTATATTTCAGTGATCCAAGATCACATTGAGTCTATAGGAAAAGCCAATACTATCAAGGAGGGATGAGGTGTTGCTTAATGAGCCTCTTGCTTCATGTGCTTAGTGATATGCTCCAAAACCCTCAACTACTTTCTCACATCCACATATGACCTAAACCCAAAGCCAAAATCGGTCACACCGATTCTTCCTATCCGGCGCCACCGATTTCAAATGTCATAGCCACTGCCATAAACCCTAGGCAAATCGGTCTTACCGATAGGGATCTCGGTCTCACCGAGATGGGATTGCAACCTCTCTGTGTATGTCCATTACCAAAATCGGTCTCACTGAGTTTGTGTAATCGGTACTACCAAGATTACAATGCAAACTCTATGGTTAACTTATTACCAAAATCGGTCCCACCGAGTTTGAGTAATCAGTCCCACCGAGTTTGCCTGACCAACTCTCTGGTTAGCTAATTACCAAAATTGGTCTTACCGAGTTTGTGTAATCGGTCTCACCGAGATTACGTTATGCCCTAACCCTAACCATATCGGTCCCACCGAGTTGCATTTCGGTCCCACCGAAAATCCTAATGTCACTAAATTTGCTAAATCGGTCCGACCGAGTTTGTTGATTCGGTCCCATCGAGTTTGGTAAATTGTGTGTAACGGTTAGATTTTGTGTGGAGGCTATATATACCCCTCCACCTCCTCTTCATTCGTGGAGAGAGCCATCAGAACAAACCTACACTTCCAACTTACCATTTCTGAGAGAGAACTACCTACTCATGTGTTGAGGCCAAGATATTCCATTCCTACCATATGAATCTTGATCTCTAGCTTTCCCAAGTTGCTTTCCACTCAAATCTTCTTTCCACCAGATCCAAATCCTATGAGAGAGAGTTGAGTGTTGGGGAGACTATCATTTGAAGCACAAGAGCAAGGAGTTCATCATCAACGCACCATTTGTTACTTCTTGGAGAGTGGTGTCTCCTAGATTGGCTAGGTGTCACTTGGGAGCCTCCGACAAGATTGTGGAGTTGAACCAAGGAGTTTGTAAGGGCAAGGAGATCGCCTACTTCGTGAAGATCTACCGCTAGTGAAGCAAGTCCTTCGTGGGTGACGGCCATGGTGGGATAGACAAGGTTGCTTCTTCATGGACCCTTCTTGGGTGGAGCCCTCCGTGGACTCGCGCAACCGTTACCCTTCGTGGGTTGAAGTCTCCTTCAACGTGGATGTACGATAGCACCACCTATCGGAACCACGCCAAAAACATCCGTGTCCCCAATTGCGTTTGAATCCTTCAAAACCCTTCCCTTTACATTCTTGCAAGTTGCATGCTTTACTTTCCGCTGCTCATATACTCTTTGCATGCTTGCTTGCTATATGTTGTGAATGTTAAATTTGTGCCTAAACTCCACTTAAACTTAAAAATGGTTAAAAGCTGCAACTTTGGTACTAAGTGTCTAATCACCCCCCTCTAGACAGCTCTTCTCAAGGTCCTACATAAATATTTAATGGCATCGTTACATGATGATGAAAAAATAAAATCAAACAAATAATGTAATCGCAATTAAGGAAAGAAATCTAGAGAATTGGTCTCGGGCAGGGGGGCTTGAGAAAGAGGGACGGGGAAGGGAGATGAGCTCTTGTGTATGCCTTTTTTATATATAGAAAAAGAGAGTGCATATTCTCTTTGTACGTGAAGTGTGTACATGAATTGACTTATGTGGGCCAAGCCTAAATAATGAACATAAACAGAATAACTCTTTCCAACCAAACAACAAACTCTATCTAAAAAAATCAACATAGTAAAGATAGTTAATTTTTTAAAATAGTTTTACATATGTTCACACTTTTTAAAGACTGGTCAAAATTTTCAAAAAAATATATTTTTGAAATTTATTAAAAATTTCAAATGACGTTCTCCTTAAAAAATCCAATTTTAATAAAAAGTTCACTTTAAAAAAAATCATGTTTTTTCTAAAAGCAAAAAAAAAAAAAATCAAACTATTTCATGAACCACTACTCTTCTGTCAGACGAAGAACACTAAGATGCCTTTTTAACATCCAAACTTCATACTCCGAAAATCAGCAATCAATGTAAACTTAGTATAGATGTTTATCAGAATTGAATATAAACTATGGTGCGTAATAACACATGAATCAGATTTTACGAGTTTCTACATCTGATGCAACGCACGGACATTTATACTAATTTTCTATAAAAATAGTTAAACTTAAAAATGTTTGACTTAAAACAAAGTTCTTAATTATTTTGGATAACGTTTTTAGGAACTTTCTAGTATGCATACAGCCGGAATGGGGAACACCGGGCGCACCACACAAGACCTAGTGCCCAGGTACGTTTCCCTGCCTCCCACCCTAACCTAGCAACCTACCACCTCTCACCGATGGCGACGACGAGCTCCCCTCGTCTCCTACCTATCCCCCCCTCCACCTCCACCTGCACCTCCTCCGCCCTCCCACCAGTCTGTCCTTCCCGCCTCCGCTTCAATCCACCAGCAGCAGCAGCAGGCGCGGTTTCTACTTCCGCCTTGGGCCGTGGCTGCAGTTCTTGGCTCAGCCTCCGCTGCCGAAGCGCTGCCGGACCCTTGCCGCCCTCCTCCGAGCCACCGCCCCCATCTCCTCAAGGTAGCGCCACTGCCTTGCACCTCTCCGTTTGCTTACTGTAGTTTTTATGCTACTCTCCAATCAGTTGTAGTTAGGGGTTAGAGGCTCTAGAGGATTGATTTTCAGTTCATTGTTGCTGGTCATTTCGGGAGCTCTTGAAAGCCGTCTCTCACGAACTTAAATTGGCATTTTGGGGGATTGGAAAAAGCACCTTACAAATTTCCGCCAAGATAATACCCGTGGCCGAATGAGGGGCGGAGCCTGACCGTATCTTACCAAAAAATAGATTGTTGCATAATTGTTTCCATATTTTTCTTGAACACAGTACAATCGAAGCCGCTCACATAGACTCAACCCTATGAACGCACGCACGCACACCCTATCCCTGTGAGCACCTCCGAGAGACTGAGCCGACATATCATCTAAAATTTTACGAAGTCACAACAGATGCCTTCGTTGTCAACGGGATGTCTCCTCCCATTGAACGTACATCGCAGGAAGGCCTGAAATAAATCCAGGAAAATGTGAGCACCAATGTCAAGTCTAGGACTTGAATGGTGGGCTGGGGATATCACTGTCCTCCTAACCATCCAACCACAGGTTGGCTCGCTAAATGTTTCCATATTTGAGGCATTACTTTCCCGTGGGTGCGAATTCATGTTCAATGGGATTCATCTTGGTTCAAACGAAAAATATACTAGTTTGTTTAGTTAAGATAAGATGACTTGTAACCTAGGAGTTCTTCTACGGTACCCTCAATGATCATGGAGTGTCTATCTATGTCAATCCAATGGATAAGCTTCATCCATACTCCAACCAACTCTTCCATTACTACCTTAAAAAACTGAGTGCCCTGCTTTGAAGGGTAAAATGGTATTCTTAGGGGACCTAAAGCTTCCTGAACACCAGCATCAGCCTTAAGCTGATGGACGACCTGCAGAATTGGCGTGATTTTATTGGCGAACATTCCTTTCACGCCAGATAGCCCAAACCACCTAGACACACAGGCAGTCCAGTCTCTTCCTGTCTATGCCGTGGTAGACGTCCCTCACAGCAGTCCACCATGGAATGAGCTCCTGGTCCATGGTGGGTGCGACAGCCTGAAGATTGGCCCACTGAAGAAGAGAGCTCCATATGATGTTGGCAATGGTGCAACGCACACATAGGTTGCTAATTTGTTGTCAAGTTAATGTCTCTTAGCCAACTCTAGTTCATTCTTCTTGCCAATGTTGGCCAACTCATGGCAAAGCAAAAGCTTGGCCAAATATTTGGCTTGTAGAGCAAACTTGGGCTAAAACCAAACATAGCCATAATGTCCTCAGGACACCCTGAAGCACCTCGATGTGGTGGAATTCTTGGGTCAACCCATGTATAGTCCCAATCAAAATCCTCAATGACCAAAGGGTCATAGCTTTTGCCGCCCATCTTCTCGCACCTCTTTTCAAACCTACTCACACCAAGTCATTCAATGTTTGGTGTTCTAACCGGTTCCTTTTCTTTGTGTGGATCTAAATAGCTTGCGTCAATTACTATTGAATAAATACAAAGACTTTACTAGGTGACACACAAACTCAAACATGGTCTAACCTCACAGCCGGATCATGAAGCACAAAGTCTAACAATACACTTTGCAAACATTTGTAGTTCATTGGCCTAGGGCTTGTACCCTGAACCTCATTGACAAGAGGTTTCAGTTGCAGTCTCAAATTGCCTAGAGCTTGCAACATTCAATGGTATATACCATACGCGTAGAAGAACAATGCCCACTGCATCTTCACATAGTGTCTCTCTTCCTTAGTCTTTAAGCTGGAGTCCGTGGTGTTTTGAGAACACCCAGAGTGTCTTTCATCAACAAGATCCGCAGGTTTTCTTCGAAGCATGTCAGGAATAGGTTATTTTGAGAAGCAGATACATCCAATCAGAAATTAATTACCTTACTTGGTTACTGAAGTTCATCAATACTTATTGCATCTGGGGGCTCTGGACTGGAACACTCAATCTGGATTGTCAAGGTCAACGTTAAGAGTTAATATTGTTTGAGCCTTCAGCCAGCAGAGCAATGGAATGGTTTTTGTACATATGTTCTTATGAAGTGAGGATCCATCAGTTCTCTACATTTTAGCACATGGTTTTCTTGTGTATGGCAGTTTCTCCCTCAAAATTTTAAGTCCTACATAATGGTTGCATGCTTGTGACATGGCTGCATGTAATTGATCTTGTTTTTTCTTTTGGGCAGATTGGCAAGAGAGGTTGTCAAGATTACAGGATATGTTACGGATATTCTTTGCAGTTCTGTTCTGGATGGCACTGTTTTTCTGGGGCAGTGCTTGGGGTGGAAGTAACAACTCAGGTGGCAAGAAAGGCCAACGATTTCGAAACAAATCCAAGTGAATAAGCCCTAGGAGTGGTTACAGTCTCACTTTTACTGGTATATATATAACTTTCCTGTGTTCGTATGAACAAGCAAGTGGTATTATACATCCTGCTCAGATGCACAGTGTATTCGCATGTATTCAAATGTAACATTGTATGTAGTGCTGCAAAGCTTCTCTTTGATACTCCACCCATTCCACAATGTAGTGCCTATAGTTTTTTATGAAAGTCAAACTTTGCCAACTTTGACCAAGTGTATAGAGAAAACTGTCTACATCTACAATACCAAACATGTACATTCTGAAAATATAACTCATGATGTATTCAATGATGTGCATTTGGCTTTCTAGATGTACCTACTTTTCTCTATAAATATGGTCAAACTTTGCAATGTTTGACTTTTTGCAAAAATCTATAGGCACTACATTATAGAATCGGAGGAAGTATATGATATGCCACGCGAGGTGGACGAAAATTAGGGATATGCTATTATGCTGAGAGTACCCATGTTCATTGAGTGCAAATTATATGATATCACAGTGGAAGCTAAAGTCAAACGTGTCTCCCCTTTGCTGTATTTGACATGATAACTGACGGAGACCGCACGTAGGGGTATGTAGCCAGTTGCTTCTCATTTGATAGTGGCACACACTGAATTCGTCACGTTTCAATGGCTGACACCGAATATCAGAATTTCTTAGTGACTCGAACGGAAGTATTCCTAGAACGAATGCTAGATGACTAATTTATTTTTGATATTGATAGCTTTGTTCTAACCGTCTTGGCCTAACAGGCTTGTTTATTAACATTGCCTGTGCTCTAACTATGCTAAGTTTTCATGTCAAAAAAAGTTACGAGTTATATAGGACGAGGGGCCGAGTAGCGCGTTTTGGTGTCCAGCTCATCTGCACCCGGTTAGAAAAAATTCGTAAACAATTCAAATAAAAATAAAAAATTCTGATTTTTTTTGGACGATAGACAATTTGATTTGCGTGAGGCCTGCTTTAAATTTCAAGTCATTTGGACATCTGAACAGCTCTCAGCAAAAAAGACAAATCAGGCCAAAACAGTACATAAACAGTAAACATTTTCACATACCCCCAATTTGTCCTTTTTGTTGAGAGCTCCTCAAATGTTCAAATGATTTGAAAATTAGAGCGGACCTCAGGCATCAAATTGTCTACCGCATAAACAAAATTGGATTTTCTTTTTTGAAATTTTCTAGTGTTTGTTTCGATTTTTTTCGCCAGCGAGGGTGCAGATGAGCTCAGGTGCAGAGATGGATTTTCATGGGGCGCCATGCTAGATAGCACGCCATTGTCCCAGCCTATTGTGCAAACAGGTCAAATTGTGAAAAGTAATTGGATTCAGTCCATTTTATGCTGAATTTTTTTAAAAAGTGAAATATGTCCATTTTCACAGTGTAGGCACTGTCAAATTATGTACAGATGGCGAGAACAGAACATAGCCCGATATAGGTTCACGCTCCCTCTCTCCCTCTCGCTCTCGCTCTCCCTTCGCGTCGGCGGCTACTCCGGCCCCGGCGGCCACCTCTCCCCGCCGTCTCCACTCCGGAGCCGGCGTCCAAGCATGGCTGAGAGGGTCTCGCTGTCTGCGGCGTCGTCCGACATGCCGTCTCCCCCTTCCCCCTCTCCATGCCCTAGGCCGGTGTTGCGGTCGCTTCTGGTGGTTCCCGACATCGTGGGCACGGCACACGGGCCAATCGTGCAGGGCGCGCCGTCTCGCCCCATGGGGACGTCGCAGCCGGAGTGGCAGACCCGTGGAGGCCGGGGTGGCCTGGTGCCGCGCCGGCGGTCGCCGCCGCGCCAGATCCGGCGGTCCCTTCCTGGCAGGTGGCCTGACGTCCTTCCCTCCTCCAGGCCGCCGCGTGGGCGCATTCCAGAGATGCTCATCGGCTGCTGCTACAACTGCGGCGATGAGAGGCACATGTCGGCCATGTGTGTGTGTATTGCGGGGAGGTGGGGCACATCTCAAAGAACCGCGCTTTGCCGCGCCATCGGCCTCGTTCGCGCAGTTCGTCTCCGGAGGATCGGCCTAGGCCGCCGACGGTGCTTCGGCCTCGGTTGCCGCCCTCCTCGCCGGTTGGGGCGCCGTCCGCGCCGGTTCCGCCGGCCATGGTGGCGGCGGGGCCCTCGCGTCTGCCGCCTCCTTCTCCTCCGCCAGGTCCGCCCCCTCCGGGTGCGGTGCGGGTCGGGGTCTCGTGGAGCCAATTGGTCCGGTCGGGAGCCGAGTCGGTGGCCAGTGTGGCGGGGCCGGGCTTCTATGTGCCCTTTGCGCCGGCCGGTGCACATGGCGTGTCTTCGGGTGCTTCGCAAGCCTTGGTGGAGGAGCAGGTTGACTGCTGTTTCATGGAGACTGGTCCGAATATTCGGGCCATGTAGGATGAGCTGTCTCGAGCGGTGGTGGTCTCGGTGGTCGGTTCGAGGCGGCTGGCGGATCTGGCGGCGGTGGCGGCCGCCATCGTCGAGGAGTTCGAGCTGGCGCCTTTGGACATGTCGATCAGGGCGTTCGTTCCTGAGGATTTTCTGGTCCTCTGTCGCTCGGTGGAAATCAGGAACGGGATGGTCAGGCGAGGCAGGGCGGGCACACCGCAGTTCGACCTCATGCTCAGTCCGTGGTCGCGCAGGGTTGGGGCGACGGCGATCACCATGCCTTTCCTCGTGCCGCTGGCGTTGCGGGGCGTGTCGGCGAACGCCTGGACCAGGAGAACGGCTGATACTCTGCTCCATGGCCTGGGCATTGTGGTCAAGGTGGCGGCGTCTACGGAGGCGAGGAATGACATGTCGGGGTTTCGAGTGTGGCTGCGCACTGATGAGCCGGCGAGGATCCCATCCCGGTGCATCCTCGTTGTGGAAGAGCCGGACAGGAGGGGCGCTCGGGCTCTGGGAGTGGTCGATGCACCGGATGCGCTGTGGTACCCGATCTCCATTGTTCAGGAGGATGGTGCTGTTTGGTTGGGGCCACAGGTGGATGCGCCGCCGCCGCCTTCACCGCCGTCGGAGGGGCGTGATCGGGATGGCCCGGGATCTGCGGGGGCTCAGCGAGGCCGTGGCCCTCCTGTGGGTGGGGTTCAGGAGCGGCGTTCGGCTCCGCCTTGTGGCTCATCAGCGGCAGCCTCGTCGGCGGGATCGGCGCCAATCGAAGGACGTCAAAGAGAAGTTCAAACTGGTCTCCTGGATGATCAAGGCAAAGTGGCGATTTGGGTACGCGGGTGGATGACTCGGCCTATGCGATCATGGGACCAGGTGAGACAGAGGTGGTCGGCTCGGAGGGTTCAATCGGTTCGTTGGAAGCTAGCGATGGGGGAGCCCGGATTGGTTGCTGGGAACCGAGCTCGATGGAAAGCGTGGTGGGGCCAAACAGGGAGGTGGTTGGGCCTCGGGTGGAGTGTGACTCTACGCGGCAAGGCAGCAATGGCGGGGCCGGTCTGGAATTGTCGCAGCCGGATCGCCTGGCTACCATTGGCTCTCCGAGCGCTGATGGTTGCGGTGGGCCCGGGGTCGGAGCGGCGCAGCCCGTGGAGGAGCAGGAATCACTGTCCACGCCTGGGGCGTCGCGGGTGCTCAGGTTCGGGCAGTGGGCCCTATCCATGCAGGAGGTGGATGCGACAAACGAACTGGTTGGTGGCGGGATTCGCATGAGGACCGAGGCGGATCGGATCGATTTTTGCCAGTTCGGGATTGGTGGGATCTGGGGCTAGAGATTCGGCGAGAAGTGGGCCCGAGTTGCATGCGGATGGGATGTACCCATGCACGCAGGATTTTGGGGAGGGCTGGTTTGTGGTGAGTCTTTCCGAGCAGGCTGGCACGCCGCTGGCGGATGCGGCAGGGGTGGAAGCGCGTCCGGCCTCCACGTCGCCCCGGGATCAGGTGGCCAGGATATGCGCGGAGCTCAGGCAGGATCTATCGCCCTGCTGGCGCAACCGGTGAGCAGGAACCCACCTCAAAAGAAAAGGAAGCCAAGGCAGAATCATGTACCTATTTCCTCCCCGCGTCGAAGTGTCAGGCTGGCCAAGGGTGGGCGCACGTGAAGGCTTCCAGGCAGCAGGCGGTACTCATTAGGAAATTGTGCCTTGCGCACGAGGGAGATGTGATCTCGGATGAGGCTCTTCAAGCCTACGTGGACTTGTTTGACAAGCCACTGGTGGAGAGTCACATGAAGGCAATTTTGTCCTTGTCCGGTTGGGATTCAGAAGCGTTGTCGTTAGTGGGAGATGAGGACGGTGTGATGGTTGAGCCGTAGTGCCGTGATGCACCAGGGTGGTCATGGTGGGTTTTGTAATGGCTGCACAACCTCCAAAAATTTTGGTGTGGAACGTGCGTGGACTTAACTCCATAGCACGGCGTAGCGCGGTTTTTCAGGTCATGGAGGCGTCTAGGGCTAGCGTTGTTTGCCTCCAGGAGACAAAGATGGAGATCATGTCGAGTGAGCTTGTAAACCAATGCTTGGGTAATAAATTTGAGGACTTTTATTATGTGCTGGCTGTAGGCACACGTGGGGGCATCCTACTCGCGTGGGATAAAATGGTGGTGTTGGCCTCCAATAGGCATGTCACGGAGAACACAATTACGGCGTTCTTCAAGAAGGGCGAGGTCATGTGGTGTTTGACGGGTGTGTATGGACCTCAGGGGGATGCGGAAAAGGTGGAGTTCTTGCAAGAACTGAGAGAGGTGCGTGACCTACACGCTGGCCCGTGGGCAGTCGTGGGGGACTTCAATCTTTTGGTTAACCTAGAAGACAAGAATAATTCAATGATCAACAGGAGAATGATGGCTAGGTTCCGGTCGTTGCTGAATGCCCTGGACTTAAAGAGTTATACTTGAACGGTAGGAGGTACACGTGGTCAAACGAAAGGAGAAACGCCACACTAGAGAAAATTGATCACATTTTCGTTACCAACACCTGGGAGGACATTTTTCCGCGGAACTTGTTGACGGCTCTTGGCACGGCAATCTCGGATCATTCCCCCCTCTTTGTGGATTTGGACGCGGATTTTC